AGCCTTAAATCCCAGCTCTTGGAGGCCGAGGTCAGGAATTCAAGACCACCCTGACAACATTGTGAAACCGTGTCTCTAGTAAAAATACAAAAATTAGCTTGGTGTGGTGGTGGTAGCCTATGATCCCAGCTACTCAGGAGGCCGAGGGAGGAGAATCACCTCTACTGGGAAGTAGAGGTTACAGTGGACTGTGATTGTGCCACCATTGCACTCCAGCCTTTGGCGGCAAGAGCAAAACTGCATCTCAAAAAAAAAAAAAAAAAAAGAAAAAAAAGTTTGTCAACCTCCTCGGACTCCCACGAAAACCCAGATTTCCGCCGACACCCAGATGTCTGTGGTGACCAGTTGCCTCCTGACCTCAGCCCTCTCCTTGTTCCCCTTTCCCCAATATCAAAGGAAGCTCGAGATTCACACCTTTTTTAAAGTTTATTTTTATTTTTTTCTGGCTCTGTCACTCAGGCTAGAGTACAATGGCGTGATCAAAGGTCACTGCAACTTCTGCCTCTCAGACTCAAGTGATCCTCCTGCCTAAGCCTCCCGAGTAACTGGGACCACAGGTGCACGCCACCGCGCCCAGCTAAGTTTTGTTTTGTTTTGTTTTGTTTTGTTTTGTTTTTGGTAGAGGCAGGGTTTCCCCATGTTGCCCAGGCTGGTCTCAGACTAATGGGCTCACCTGATCCTCCCAGTTTGGCCTCCCAAAGTGCTGGGATTACAGGCCTCCACACCTGGCCTCTATATTAATGCCTGTTTTTTTTTTTTTCGGTTTGTTTGTTTTGAGACTAAGTTTTGCTCTTTTACCCAGGCTGGAGTACAGTGGTGCAGTGGCATGATCTCCGCTCACTGCAACCTCCCCATCCCCGGTTCAAGCGATTCTCCTGCCTCAGCCTCCTAAGTAGCTGGGATTACAGGCATGCGCCACCATGCCTGGATAATTTTTGTATTTTTAGTAGAATGTGGTTTCCCCATGTTGGCCAGGCTGCTCTCCAACTCTTAATGTTGTGATCTGCCTGCCTGATATTCATGCCTTTTAAGATGGCTAGGTAGGTCATCCACCTGTCATGTTCTTGGTTTGCTGGCTCTCCAAAATGAAGTCACTTTTCTTTCTCTAGATTTTTTGGAGGCAGTGCAGTGAGCAGAATGATTTGGACTCGGTTCCACTCTGGCCCCACAGCACCCAGCACCCCTGCAGCAATGTGCTGAGCTTCCTGGCAGGGAGGAAAGGGAATGTCCTTTTGGCTCCAGGAGGCACCAGGGCAGGGTCAGGTGTTTCCCACACCATCCAGGTGGCAGTGACAGGTGCTGAGTCTGGAGAGGTAAACAGCAGTCATCACCTAACCATGACCTAGAATATGAGTGTCTAGGGACAGACGAGAAAATGACAGCAGAGAAAGGTTACCTAACTTGCCAGACACACAGACATTCCTTGCAGATGTATCCATGCAAATCTATGCTCATCCCCAGGGAAGTACTACTGGATTCCATGGGGTTTAATTTTTGCCTATCTTTAAGAGGACATACCTTTCAGGTGTGTTTGTAAACAGTATTTTACATTGTCTTTTTTTTTTTTTTTAATCCTTTTGGGATTTGTGTAAGAATGGCATAATGGATCTGCCATTCATGTATTCTTTGAGAGTGCATTTTTACGGTAAAATATATTGTGCTCATTATCCGTCTGCTTTATTTGTTTATTCATTTAGAGGCAGAGTCTCCAAATAAATAATAATTCAGGTCTCCATCGCATCACTCGAATGCACTGTCAAATGCTCCCTCCTGGGGTCTCGTGGAGCCTGTCCCCAAGCCAGGGGGCTTCCTAGTGCCGCCTGAACGTCTCTCCAAAGCAGCACAGGTCCGACCCCCCACTGCCCACCTGAACAGCTTCCTTAGCTGATGTCTTTTGAAATGGAGGCCAGGTCCACAGTGCCAATTTCACCCTCTCTACAATCTCTCTGCAGCCAAACTGGCTTGCCGTCCTGGTGTTTCCTTGCTTGGTTTCACCGCTCCTTCCAAATGCCCGCCACTCAACTTTGCATGTGTGTTTTCTGTCTGGGGTCCTGCACACGTGTGGTTCTGAAGGGAAGCACCCATTCCTTGACATCAGTTCACCCCACAGCCTGTGTGATGCCTTCCCTTATCTTCCCACCTCTGCATGCCCATAGCACAACAGTGACATCCTATTATAATGTATATTGGGATGAGGTTATTTGCCCTGATTTCTCCCAGTCCCATTAGACTAGATGCCTGTAGAAGGCAGGATTTTGGCAAAATATAAATATATTATATTTCTTTTATCTTTGGGGGACAGAGACTTGCCCTGTCCCCCAAACTGGAGTGCAGTGGTGAGATCATAGCTCACTGTAGCCTCCATCTCCAAGGCTGGAGTGCAATGGTGCAATCTCACTGCAACCTCCACCTCCCAGGTTCAAGCCATTCTACTGCCTCAGCCTCCTGAGTAGCTGCGATTACAGGTGTGTGCCACTGCATCTGGCTATTTTTTTTTTTTTTTTTTTTTTTTTTTGTATTTTTAGTAGAGACAGGAGTTCACCATGTTGGCCAGGATGGTCTCGATCTCTTGACCTCAGGGGATCCACTCACCTCTGCCTTCCAAAGTGTTGGGATTACAGGCGTCAGCCACTGTGCCTGGCCTGCAATATTATATGTAGAAACATGTTTATTTTACTTTTACCAACTTCTTGGTTATTGCTATTTGGACTGCATGGATTTCCTTCGTTTTTCCCTTCCTCTCCCTTCCTCTTCTTCCTCCCTCCCTCCCTCCCTTCCTTCTTTCTTCCCAAAGTTTAACTTTGTCTTATTTGTCTCTCTCTGTTGCCCAGGCTGGAGTGCTGTGGCACCATCTCAGTTCACTGCACCTCTGCCTCCCATGTTCAAGCGATTCTTGTGCCTCAGCCTCCAGATTAACTGGAACAAAAGGATACACCACAATGCCCAGCTAATTTTTGTATTTGTAGTAGAGACCGGGTTTTCCCATGTTACCCAGGGTGGTCTCAAACTCCTGGGCTCCAGCAGTCTGCCTGCCTCAGCCTCCCAAGGTGGTGAAACTACAGATGTGAGCCACAGTGTCTGGCCCTCACTGTATGGATTTTCTAAAAAGAAAAAGAAAATTAGATTAAATTTGTCTTATTTGCCAAAAGGGAAATTGACCTTTTCTCCTCTCCTTTTTATTTTATTTTTTTCACAGCTTAAAACAATAAACAATTATTACTTCACACAGTTTCGGTGGGTGAGGAGCCTAGAAGTGACTTAGCTGAGTGTCTCAGGCTCAGCATCTCTGATGGGATTACAGACAAGCTATGAGCAGTCATCTGAAGGTTACCCAGGGCTGGAGCGTCTTCTTCCAAGATGGTCATCCATGTAGCTATTGGCAGACGTCCTCAATGCCTTGCCACATGGGCCTCTCCATGGGGCTGCCTGGCTGTCCTCACAGCACAGCATCTGGCTTCCACCTCAACTTCTGTATTTATCCCATCACTGGCTGCTAGCAAAACATCACAGACCGGCACCAGTTCACAGGCAACACTTTAAGAAACCCTGAAAGGAATATAGGATGGATCTCCAAAGATTAGTATGTTATATGCTGCTTCTGGAGTTCTCCCCAAATATATAACCATGGAGCATCCAACAAGGAAGGCAGCATTTGCTTGCTTTCTCTGACCAGAGCTGGAAAAATGAACAATTTTCTTCCTTAACATTGTAATAGACTTCAATTTCTTATTTATCTTGCAACAATATCTGTGAACCATTGTCAGATTGAGTGGTCCAAAACCTGTGTAGAAGTTCTCATATTCAAGTTCATTATCTATGCTGAAATAATGTACATTTGATGCACTCTTCGGTCAGCTGTAGAGATTGGCAAAACAAAGGCGGTCGGTGATGTCCAGGTACACGTCGTCCTCGGGGTCCAGGCGGCGCGGGTCCTGCCGCGCGGAAATGCGGCTTTTCTTCACGCCCGGCGAGGTCGACGAGCAGCGCCGCGAGCAGTGGGGTGAGGTGGCCCAGGTCTACCGCCCTCGCTCTTTCGCTTCACGGAGGCGGCCACGGCCTGTCAGGGGGCCACGACCATGGCCCTGCGCGCCTGCCCGCGTACCCGCCGAGACTCTCGCCAGCCTCGCTCCGGCGCTCCCTCCTCTCCTTTTTAAAGGGTATTTCTGGCCAGGTGCAGTGGCTCTCACCTGTAATCCCAGCACTTTGGGGGCCCAAGGCAGGCAGATCACTTGAGGCCAGAAATTCCAGACCAGCCGGGCCAACATGGTAAAAACCCATCTCTACTAAAAACACAAAAATTAGCAGGATGTGCTTGCTTGACCACAGGAGGGTGGAGGTTGCAGCCAGCTGAGATCGAGCCACTGCACTCCCCTGGGTGACAGAAGGAGACTTCATCTCAAAAAAAAAGTACATTCGCTCATCATTTGAGTGCATTATTTCGTCTACAGCCAATAGCTCAGGCTTTTAAATTGTTATTTAGATCTGATCTTCTTTTTTTTTTTTTTTTTGAGACAGAGTCTCACTCTGTTACCCACGCTGGAATGCAGTGGCACGATCTAGGCTCACTGCAACATCTGCCTTTTGGGTTTAAGTGATTCTCCTGCCTCAGCCTCCCGAGTAGCTGAGATTACAGGTGTGTGCTCCCATATCCAGATAATTTGTATTTTTAGTAGAGACGGGGTTTCACCTTGTTGGTCAGGCTGATCTCGAACTCCGGACCTCAGGTAATCCACCTGCCTTGGCCTCCAAAAGTGCTGGGATTACAGGCACGCGCCACTGTGCCCAGCCCGTTACTTAGATCTTATATATCCTTGCTATTTTTTGTATTCTACATCTTAGTTTCTAAAAACGGCATTAAAATCTTTTACTATGGTGATGGCTGGGCACCGTGGCTCAGGCCTGGAATCACGGCATTTTGGGAGGCCAAGGCAGGTGGATCACTTGAGGTCAGGAGTTCGAGATCAGCCTGGCCAACATAGTGAAACCCCATCTCTACTAAAAGTACATAAATAACTGGGTGGTAGTTGTGGGCGCCTGCAGTCCCAGCGACTTGGGTGGTGGAGGCAGGAGAATCACTTGTGCCTGGAGGCAGAGGTTGCGGTGAGCTGAGGTCACACCATGCACTCCAGTCCGGGAGACAGAGTGAGACCCTGTATCAAGAAAAGCAAAAAATATCTTTTACTGTGATGGACGATGTATTCGTTTCTCTTTCTTGTGTCTTTTTGGTTCTGTATTCATTTGCAGCGCACTTGCTGTGGACATGCACTTGCTGATGCTGACCTGAGATGAAATTAACATCTGTTTGTGGCATTGCTTCTTTGCAGTGGGTTGTTTTCTCTCAGTTTCCATCTCTGGCCTTTTTTTTTTTTTTCTGGAAGGCTAGATGTGCATAGGACGACGGTAGAGACTAGGACATGGGCTGGTTCTGCTGAGCTGTTACTGTGTAAGGAGCAGGGAGGCCCGGACGGTGATTGAGCAGGTCCAGCCAGGAGTCCAGTGGGAGGTGGGCTTGTCACCATGGTTACCACAGTGGACCACCAGCTTCACAATTCCCTAGCAAGGCTTTGTGCTGTAAGTGACCTTCCTCTCTTAACCCCCTCCTCCTGTTGACGGCTGCTGTTTGCATCTCCAGGCCTGTGGGTGGACAAGTTCTCTTTGTTGTCTCAGTCCTAGATGGGCCCTGGGTCTCTCAGTTACAGTGATCCTGTCCCTCCCTTGGCATCAGGAGACCTCCAAGCCAGAGCCCAGGACATATTCCTGCCCCTGTTTGAGGGAGAAAGCACAAGGTCTCGCCTCTGCTCTGGGGGCAACAGGAATGGCAGTTCCCCTGGCAGCTTGAGGCTTTTGTTCCTCAGAAGAGTTCTGGAGGGGGCTTTGTGTGTTTCCCTTGGCACACGGCAGCCACATCTCTTCTCCAGACCTTCACTCCCAAGGGAGTCTCTCTGGTCTGCCCAGCCCCAGTCTTTCTTGTGAGCACCCACGGAACATCTGTATTAATTTTATTTATTTTTATGTTTTTTTTTTTTGAGATGGAATTTCACTCTGTTGCCCAGGTTAGAGTGTAGTGGTGCCATCTCGGCTCACTGCAACCTCCATCTCCTGGTTCAAGCAATTCTCCTGCCTGAGTCTCATGAGTAGCTGGGATTACAGGCATGCGCCACTATGCCTGGCTAATTTTTGTATCTGTATTTCTATTTTTGGGGGGGGACAGAGTTTTGCTCTTGTTGCCCAGGCTGGAGTGCAATGGCACAATCTCAGCTTACCGCAACCTCCGCCTCCCAGGTTCAAGCAATTCTACTGCCTCAGCATCTTTGAGTAGCTGGGATTACAGGCATGCACCACCACACCCAGCTAATTTTGTATTTTTAGTAGAGACGGGGTTTCTCCTTGTTAGTCAGGATGGTCTCGAACTCCTGACCGCAGGTGATCTGCCCCCCTCTGCCTCCCAAAGTGCTGGGATTACAGGTGTGAGCCACCACACCTGGTTATTTTCATAGTTTTAGTAGAGACAGTATTTCACCATGTTGGCCAGACTGCTCTCAAACTCCTGACCTCAAGTGATCTGCCCACCTCAGCCTCCCAAAGTGCTGGGGTAACAGGTGTGAGCCACCACACCTGACCAGTCCCTCCATTTTCAAAGCCAGAAACAGAGCATGAACTTAGTCTCGTGTTGCAGGCTTCTGACGTTCCCTTCTGCCACCGATTGGTTTCTCTCCATCAGCGGTAAAGGTATCCTGCTAGTGTCTTCTTTTCCCCCTGTAGAGGCGGGGTCTCTGTTGACAAGGCTAGTCTCGTACTCCTGGCCTCAAGCAATTCTCCTGCCTCAGCCTCCCAAAATGACTGGTTTACTAATATTTTCATGTGAGGCTCACTGCGTCATTTTAATTTCAGGATTTCCTAGTGTCTTTGCGAAAGCTCAGGATGAGACTTTGTCACTAAGGTGGCTCCCTCCTCTCGGCACATCAAGCTTGTTTCTACCCTGGTCCCAAGAGCTCAGAGGCTGAAGCTCGAGTCCCTGCCTGAAGGTAAGTTCTCAGCTGGGGAGCAAAGCCTTGGCAGCCCGGTGGATCTGCCCAAGTGTTCAAGACCCAGGCATGCTAGGAGTAAAAGCATTCCTGTCAAGAAGCTGAGCACGGGGAGCAGGAATCTACTATGCAAAGGGAGACCCCAGTTCTGAGACCTCTTCACATAGCTTAGGACTGAAGCTGGAGGGTCATATGGAGGGTGGCAGCTCCCAAGGTCCACCTTGGGAGGTGAGGCCGGGCATGGTGGCTCATGCCTATAATCTCAGCACTTTGGGAGGCTGAGGTGGGCGGATCACCTAGGATGGTAGGTCGAGACCAGCCTGGCCAACATGGCAAAACCCTGTCCCTACTAAAAATACAAAAATGAGCCGAGTGTGGCAGTGAGCGCCTGTAATTCCAGTTACTCGGGAGGCTGAGGCAGGAGAATTGCTTGAACCCAGGAGGTGGAGGTTGCAGTGAGCTGAGATTGTGCTGCTGCACTCCAGCCTGGGCAACAGAGCGAGACTCTGTAAAAAAACCCAAGGTCCATGTACCTGAAACAGCCCCAGCTTACTTGGGGACAGAGCAAACATGGGTGCTCACATCGAGGGATCATCTTGGTTTTAGTTGAGTGCAAGGTTACAGGCTGGGCAGAGCATCTCCATGGTGCTCAGAGGACAGTCGTGGACCCACACTGCCTCTGGATCATTTGCATTTACCATCATCCTCTTCTGCCTGTGCCACCTGAGCATCAGCTCTGCCCATGATACTGGCACCTCTGGACCTGGCTTCTACCAACATGGAACCAGGGGTTTGCAAGGAAGAGAATACAGTCATGGCGTCTTAGTTTCTGTTTCTGATTGGGGCGGTAAAGCCCCTTCCTCATCCTTCTTTATCACTTACCAGTAGAGGCAGAAGCGAAAAGCCATGGCTTTAGGCTGCTCAACAAAACGAAAACAACAGCAGCAAAATAAGGTGGATTGAACAAGCACGAGTAAACTCTTACGCTATAGTAAAGTCAGATTTTTTTTTTTAAATCTCTGTACTCTGCAACCTCTACCTCCTGGGTTGAAGCGATTCTCCTGCCTCAGCCTCCTGAGTAGCTGTGACTACAGGCACCCACCACTGCACCCGGTTATTTCTGTATTTTTGGTAAAGATGTGGTTTCACCTTATTGGCCAGGCTGGTCTTGAACTCTTGACCTCAGGTGATCCGCCCACCTCGGCCTCCCAAAGTGCTGGGATTACAGGCGTGAGCCACTGTGTCTGGCCAGAATTTGCTTTCTTAACTTGGGTTTTTTGTTTCTCCTTTTTATGTCAAAGACTAAAAAACAATGGGTGTGAGAGAGACATTCAGAACCATCAGGCTCAGTAGCGGGCAAGCCGGCACTCAGTCCCAGGGCTCCCGTGCACCCGGCAGGGGCTTCTGCCACTGTTTCACAATTCATGGCTAAGACCTGCCCCATTCCACTTTCTCCCCCTTCAGCCCTCTCCTGCTTTTCCTTTTGCCTGGGGAAAGACTTTGATAGAAGCCCATTGGGAGAAAACACAGTAAGATGATACATGTATATTCTTTTTTTTTTTTTTGAGACGGAGTGTCATTCTTGTTACAGTTTCGCCAGGCTGGAGTGCAATGGTGCGATCTCGGCTTACTTCAACCTCCACCTCCTGGGTTCAGGCAATTCTCCTGCCTCAGCCTCCTGAGTAACTGGGATTACAGGCATGCGCCACCGTGCCCAGCTAATTTTTTGTATATTTAGTAGAGACGGGGTTTCACCATGTTGACCAGGATGGTCTTGATCTCTTGACATTGTGATCCACCTGCCTCGGCCTCCCAAAGTGCTGGGATTTCAGGCATGAGGATACATACATATTCTTATGAAATATTTACACATGAAACAGTGAGCACCAATTCATCATTTAAGAAATTAGAAAATACCAATATATTTAAAAAAAAAAATCCGTCCAGTGAGGTGGCTCATGCCTATAATCCCAGCACTTTGGTGGATTGAGGCATGAGGGTCACTTGAGCCTGGGAGTTCAAGACGGCCTGGGCAACACAGTGAAACCCCGTCTCCACAAAAAATTACAAAAGTTAGCCAGGAATGTTACATGTCTGTAGTCCCAGCTACTTGGGAGGTTGAGGTTAGAGGATCACTTGAGCCCGGGAGGCAGAGGCTGCAGTGAGCTGTGAAGGTGCCACTGTACTCCAGCCTGAGCAACAGACTGAGACCCTATCTGAAGGAGGAAAAAAGCCCAACCAAACATCCTACCATGCAAAGATAATCACTGCCAATAGTCTGTGTTTCTTCAAAATCTTTTTTTTTTTTTTTTTGAGATGGAGTTTTGCTTTGTTGCCCAGGCTGGTGTGCAATGGCACAATCTTGGCTCACTGAAACTTCCACCTCCTGGGTTCAGGTGATTCTCCTGCCTTAGCCTCCAGAGTAGCTGGGATTACAGGCATGAGCCACCATGCCCAGTTAATTTTGTATTTTTAGTAGAGATTGGGTTTCACCATGTTGGCCAGGCTGCTTGAACTCCTGACCTCAAGCGATCCACCAGCCTTGGCCTCCCAAAGTGCTAGGATTATAGGCATAAGCCAGTGTGCCTGGCCCAGGATTTTAATTTATAAATGTATGTTTACAGACTCATTACAGGTGCTATAGTTTGTAGTCAATGTGTACAAACAAGAAACAGGCCACTCACAGTGACTCAGGCTTATAATTGTGGGAAATAGAGGTGGGAGGATCATTTGAGGCCAGGAGTTCGAGACTAGCCTGAGCAACATAGCCGAACCCTGACTCTGCAAAAGGCGCGTGCGCGCGCACACACACACACACACACACACACATTTTGTTTCTTTAGACAGAGTCTTGCTCTGTTGCCCAGGCTGGAGTGTAGTTGTGCAATCACAGCTCATTGCCACCTCTGCCTCCCAGGTTCAAGCAGTCTGCTTGCCTCAGCCTCCCAAGTAGCTGGGATTACAAGGGTGAACCACTGTGCCTGGCCTCTACAATAAAAATAAAAATAGGCCAGGCATGGTCGCTCACACCTGTAATCCCAGCACTTTGGGAGGCTGAGGCAGGTGGATCACCTGAGGTCAGGAGTTCGAGACCAGCCTGACCAACATGGTAAAACCCCGTCTCTACTAAAAATACAAAAAATTAGCCAGACATGATGGTGTGTGTCTGTAATCCCAGCTACTTGGGAGGCTAAGGCAAGAGAATCGCTTGAATCCGGGAGACAGAGGTTGCAGGGAGCTGAGATTATGCCCCACTACTGCACTCCAGCCAGGGCAACAGAGCAAGACCCCATCCCCCCAAAAACGTTTTCTATATATGTGTATATATATATATATATATTTTTTTTTTTTGAGATGGAATGTTGCTCTGTCACCAAGGCTGAGGTGCAGTGGCGTGATCTTGGCTCACTGCAGCCTCTGCTCCCCAAGTCTGCTGCCTCAGCCTCTTGAGTAGCTGGGATTACACGCATACGACCTGACACCCAGCTGATTTTTTTATTATAAGGAGAGATGGGGT